GCAATAAAAATAAAAAAAATATTTTCTGTGACAAAAGTTGTGTAAATACACTCTTCAAAAATCATTGTAGTATGATTTCCATGTTGTACTAAAGTTACTGAATATTATCTATATTTGAATGAAGGCAAGAATATAAGAATTCATTAAAGAACTATATGTATATTACTGTATAATTATACATGACGGCTGCTAAAAGATTAGGAAGTAACTTGCCATACTCTTTACTTCTTGCGTCTAGTTTTACGGCGCTTACAATTCCCTCCAAATGAATTTTGTTCCAATGTACTAGTATTTCCGGTCTTGCTGTGGTTGTATAAAGTATTTAAAAAGTCTTCAAAATCGGCTTCACTGTACAATGTGAAAGTTATTTACAGTATTACATACTATCAAAAACTACAAAACATTTATGAATTTAATAAAAGTTCAGTACCTCGTATTTGGGTCTATTTGTTGACGCTTTTTACCATTATTGGCGGTTTGCGATGGCGGTCGCTGGCCTAAGACAATTCTGTATTGAACACTATGTGTATTTGCTCTTAGGTGTTTTAAATTACCAGCTTGACAAGCTGCCCAATCAGTAACATCGTATACTGCTCCTTCCATACAGGCATAATAATGCCAAAGAAAACCCATTAAACGAGACTCTGCCCAAATATCTCCCTAGTCAATTTAAATAAAATCTATTTAAGAGCACAATTCAATACATGTGCTTTTATATGCTGTGTTGATAATTACTTCTTTTGCACTGTGGCGTATTTTACATTGAGCACAAAATCGCGCTGCATAGCAAGGGCGCTGTGTTGGACTTCTTTTATGCCTCAGACCACAATTTGTACATCTTATTGTATTTGCTGCCTGTTCCATCTTTCTATGAAGCTGTGAAAGTAAATCACTTAATACACCCCAAGCTGCTTCAACTTGTCTCGTTTGATCAAATGCTTGTCGGCGTTCCTAAAATATTGAAAGTATAAAAGAATTATTATAAAAATAGTAAATACAAAATTTTTTTAATATTTTTTTGGGGATAAATTTTCTTGTTATGATAAATATAAAAATATATAGTACCGGTTCACCAATTATATCAAAAGCATGTACGAGTATTTTAAATGCTTCTTCTGCACCAGGCTGATTATTTTTATCTGGATGAACTAAGAAGGCTTGCCTCTTATAATATTTTTTAATGTCATCATCTGAACATGTTGGTGTGACACCAAGTATACTATAAGGATCCTTTCCTTTACAAGCTAATAATCTTTTCATAGCCTCTTCACCAGTACTAGGTAATGCAATATTGGCTTCAAGACCACCACGTATCCAATTACTATTTTCTTCTTTTTCTTCACTTTTAGTTTTTATTTTACGCCAAAATGCAAATTTACTATTTCCAAACCAACTATCCAATTGCTTACCGACAGCATTTAAAATACGAATGTTTGAAAATGTCATAGCCATATAAATCCATGAGTGTTTCAAATACAATGTAGTATGATACCATCCACATTTACCACTAAAGTACAAATATATAAATATTTGATTACTTAAATTATTCAGCTGTATACAAAATATATTAAAGTATAATGTACTACAAAATTAAATTAAGATATTTGTTGTGTCAAATAGTACTTACAGTAGAATCATAAGGTTAACGCTCATACTAATTACATCAGATACTAAGTGTAGCAACCAATGAAATATTTTTAATCCAAATTTAATCCAATGATTGGCATATTTGTTTAGGTTTTTATACAAATCTTTAACTGGAGACTCTTTATTCTCTCTTCTGCGATTTCTTTGGGCTTTTTTAATTTGTTGTGTCTTTTCAGCTTGAAAACGCTTAGAATTCTTTTCCTTGACAAGTTTTTTTTCTTCTTTATTCATTTTGTTAATAACTTGTTGATTTTTTTCTATTTTTTCAGGGGAAACAGATTGATTGGAAGTGTTTATTATATTTAAATTGTTGTTTATCTGTATAGGACGTTTAGGAATATTTCCAGCAGATTTAGAATTATTATTTTGAATTTTTGAATTATTAAGTGTTTCTCCTTTTTCAAACTTTTTAGGTATTTTAGAAATTTTTTTCTTTTCAAAGTGATTTGATCTGTCAAAAGTATTTATTTCATGAGATTCAGTTGGTGAACCAAGATTATCTAATGATACCCAGCGCCGTGGGAGGTTTGAGTTATTTTTTTCTAATATCTTTCTTGGTATTTGCATTTTTGGAGAATTATGATCATCACTTCCAGATGAATTTTGTCTCTTTAATGCTGAAGATTTAGATTTATTCTTTGAATTCTTGTTAGAAATTTTCTTGCTTATAAATTCTGTTTTGGGTTTAATTGGTTGAATTGTTAAAGGAGATGGAGGTGTTGGAGCAGATTTTGTTAAAACATCGGAGTAAGAAGGTCGCATGGGTTTTACTTCTGCTATCACCCGAGGTTTCTTATGTTGACAATCAGTTGAATTTCTAGGTAATTCTTCAGGATCTCTAACATCTGTTGATTGTGGTACTGGAGTTATATTCGGAGAGCCACCAAAAGGACTATAGGTACCAGATTGATTTGGTGCCCAATTACCAACCAAATTTTCAATTAATTGCTTTCCATTCAAATTCTGAGTTGGCAAATCAGATGATACAGTAATACGTCTATCATTAAAAAGACCATATTCTCTGTCAATTATGTTTTGATTTCTATAAGGCGCCATACTTGAAAGCTGACATTGTTCTGCCATGATTTGTGAAGCATTTCCATAAATTACATTAATATAATTGCCACCTCCAACATCTATAGTACCAATCAAGTCATTATTTTCATTTATACCTAAATGATTTACTGCTTGAGATGGAAAGTATATTGATTCTGTTGTAGAATCATAATTCGACATATCTTGCATATAAAGAGGAGTACCCATTGAAGTCATAGATTGCATTGTAGGTGGATTAGAATGAGGAGATTGACTAGCAATATAATGTCTTCTTTGATCTGAAGAATAATCTCCCCAATTATGAGATACAGCTTGTTGTGGATTTATACCAAATTGAACATAGTGACCATTGGAACTTTCCAAATCTGAAGTCATTGCTTCAATAATTTTATCTAAGGACATATGTTTAAATCCAGAAGGAGATTGTTGTTGCTCTGCCATATTGTGGTAGATTTCTTTAAAAAAAAATTAATATTTAAAATGTGTACATGAATAATAAAATACTGTTACTCAATTATATAGTAAAGAATAATATTTTATAGTAAAAGTTATTCTATCAAACATAAACCTTCTTCATACTAACAGTAATATATTACTTCATGACAAAAATTTTCGATTTTATTTTCAACAAAGTAAATACTTTGAAACTGGTTATGGAATATGTACAAAAGAAATATAAGAAATTCATACAATGAAAAAGAAACAGTGACACAAATGAACTTAACTTAAATTATAAATCATATATAAAATAA